TTTTTTTTTTTTTTTTTCTATCCGTAAAGAAGTCTACGAAGGTGGGCGATGGAAAGTCGCGAGTGAACTAGTCCGACCAGCGCGGCTTCTAATCAGGATAATCGTGATGCGCAATCGACGATCGCGAGGTGGACCGAGGAGGACGCGCGCGGGTCGTTTCGCCGTCGATTAGGTGGGTTGACAGGTTTACGCAGTGACGCGCACGACTATATCGCGCGTATCGTGTATCAGATGAGGAGTCGTTATGAGGCAGGAAGTGTTAATGATACCCCTGCTCATTCGCGCTGGACGCTCGGCTGTAATTATCAGAGCTGGTGGGGCGTGAGGAAGCCTCGGCGGGGAGAGCGCGGAGCGGGTGTTGTTCTCTCTCTTTCTCTCTTTCTCGTCCGTTCCTGCGGCTCGTCCTCTCAACGTCGGCGTAGAATTGATAGTTATTAGACGGCGGAACCGGGGAGAGAGCACGGCTGCGTTCTCTCTTTGTCGTCTAATGAGAACCCCTGACACGCACGGCAATCCACTGTTTGACTAACACTTCTCTTTCTCTCTTTCTCTATCTCTTCCTTCTCTCCTTTCCCGTCCCCCGCGCTTCTCTCTTTCTCTCTCTCTCTCTCTCTTCCCCTTTCTCTCTCGTGTATCTCGCGCTCGCGTGGATTATGGTTTACCTCGATCGGGCGAGCAAATAATCCGCGTTTTTATGTTCCGCCATCGAAAGGGCCCTTCTCGGAAAGAGGAGGCACGGCCATGTAGTAAAGAAGGGAGAAAAGTGTTACGGATAAATGGGGGATTAGCGCAACAACATTGGCCACGGTGTATAGTTCTGGTCGCTCTTCTGCTCCCCTTACGGCCTCCGCAGCGCGTTCACGGGAATGTGGCAAATTCATTACCGGTACCCGCGGACCACGCTCTCGTCCGCGCGATATCGGAGGCGCAGTCCGCTCTTCTTGTTTGATATAATCGGCTGAATAATGATCGTCGCGCGTTCGCTTCGCAAATAACGCGCGCTCCGCAGCGGCGGATGGGCATTATTGTGGAATTAGAATATCGCAGCGCGGTTTGAGCGAAGGGCAAAAATGACGGCCCATTGCTCAAGTTTAACTTAATCCACTTGGACGATCGTGGAACCGTTTCTTATTTATCTCGCGAGAACCCGCGGACTCGCGCTATGCAAGCGCTTCCCCGTCGTAAATCGCTCAGCCCTCTGAAGTGACTCTGCGGAGTGACTTTGTAGCTGCTTATGTCGTGGCATCATCGATTACACGCAGAACTTTATACATTCGAGAATGTTTCCGGGTTCGCGAAACAAAGCTACTGCCACGCGCAGCGTGGGAACTATTAACACTAGAAGCAGTCAAATGGTTTCTAGTTTCTTGGAGAAATGACAGAGAGAGAGAGAGAGAAGTTTATAACTGTGCATTTTATATTTTTAATTGACGTATGACGTAATTGACGTTGAATAAAATTAAGAAACATTGAATTACATTTCGAAATTAAAAGACGTTGAATTACATTTAGTCAAAAAAATTAACCTTCCACGATCATTTTTTTGAACATACGGTACAATCTGGGTCTGTCAAACACGGGCAACATTGAACTACCATACATAATTTTGTTAAAAATCAATATTTTTTGATACATTTATACTGTAGAAAAACTTCTAACATACAGAAGAACCTCAGCTAAAATAATCGTGGTCAATACAGAATCTGCAGATTTGCGCTATTTTGAAATTTTCCCTTTATGAAAGCTGGTTAATCCTGAATATTCATTCAGGTCTTATAGATCCAACATTGCACATAGAGAATTAAAAAAATAACTAAATACTTTTTCTTTGCATTCATATTTTTTTAAAACTCTGTTATTCTGATCTATCTGCTAGAAATAAGTCGTTAATTGTCGATAGTTCTAGTATTAAAGAACCTATCTCATTTTTATATGGATGTTAGGCCGTAAATAACAGAATTTAGATTAATTGAAACATTATTAGAAGACCACAATATTTCATAGACATCTTCTAGGTCGAGGCTGTTCAGAGATAGGCTTGAATTGGAAAAATGTACTAAATGGTATCTTTTTATTCGATTTTTCGACGTCCAAGACACTTCTCTATGATGATGATGGTAATAAGTAATATAAATTATTATGAAATATCAACTCTTGAATCGTCTATTGTCTGTTTCAGCAACAGATACTAGATTTTTAATAGTCCATCATACCTTCATCAATCAATGTACGATTTATTACTCTATTAGTCTTGAAAGATTCAAAATGACAAAGTTTTTTTGTTTTCACGTAGAAATTTAATTTTATGGGTGATTAATGGTTTACGTGGAGAGACGTATAGTTTGAAAAATACTTATTTCGCAATGGATTCGCGTTTGATCTCACGATCGAGTCCCAAGATCAATGAGCAATGCTGTTTTTGTATTTATCGTCGTGAAACGTAACTTTATACGACATAACTCAGCTGAAGGAAGCGAGACATGCTCAACGATATAATCTCTTGAACCGATAGATTTCTTCCTTCCAAGGTCGTCGTCGGCCCCCCGAGAGAGAGTCTGAACGAAGATAAAATATAATAAAGAAGATCGTTAAGTAACGCATAGCGTCGCAGCCGGACGATCCGTGTGACACCCTTGAAACAATCGAAACGGTTGAGGAGAGGGATTATTACTCTTAATGAGCACTGGTTATTTCTTTGAGTGGCTTTGATTTACCCTCCCTTCCGTCCTCTGCTACCTCCGACATCCTCGACAGCCAAGAGAGTCTGTCTCGTGTATTTCCATGCACATATATGCGTGTGTGTACACATATAAAAATACATATTGCACTCAAATAAAATTTATTTGTGTTTGGAGTATATATATATATATATACTTCAAACACAAGTAAATTTTATTTGAATGCAATATGTATTTTTATAAGTATATATATATCCGTAAATATTTATTTTTTATGATAGATATCATAAACTCATTATAAACGTCAAATTTACTCAAAATACATTTTGATTTCTAGTAAATTTAACATTTTAATCAAGAATATTAAATTAAAATTTTAAAGGAAAATTAAGAAAGGGTCAATTTAAATTAAAGAATAAACTAAATTAAACAATATTAAGTTAAAATAAAGATTAAATAAAATTGAGTTGGAAAATAGAAATTAAATAAAAAATTCGGTTTGCTTACTAGATAAAGCAAAAAGTTAACTATTTCTTCAATTAAGTTTTCTAATAATCTTGTAAAGAGAATAAATCCTTTTTTAGAGTACATTATAATGAGCTTTTCTAAATCTCGTGATAATTATATTTTAAGACTATTGAGGAAACATTTTTTTTGTTGAAGATAAATATTATACTTAAAATTACTTAATAGGAAGAAAGTAAACTAAATAAATCGTTTTTTAACAATAGAATAATATTTTTCTGTGTGTACAATACGCAATCTCTCTTTCCCTCTCTGACTCTCTCTCTCTCTCTCTCTCTCTCTCTCTTTCTCTCTCTCTCTGTGAAAAAACTTTCCGGAAATGCTTAGCTATGAAGCTTTCCTATTAGATATCGTTTTAAATGTCACTGGAAAAAGAAAAAGTGTCTTCCAGGATGGACGCTGACTATCCGTTTAAATCTGTGGAGAAGGAGCGCAACACGCACGTGGTAGCGTGCGCGCGCGCGCATCATCACTTTTGTCTCGTCCTCTCAGAGAGGCTCATTTGCGTACGGATTGAGATAGTAGTGCTTCGGTGCTGTCCCAATGTGTGTTTTTGTTCAAATGTGTGACCGCGTACGAGCGCGCGAGATTCTGATTGCCGGCCGCTCCCAAGTCCACAGTGATCGTCATCGCGACTCGGCCTCTCATTATTTCATTTCAGTTATGCCGCTACACTTTAATCCTCAGCACTCGGAATTATTCTGACCGTGATATTAATAGAGAGCGAGCGTGCTCACGCAGCATTTAATGGGAGTTTAATAATACGCACATATAGACGCGCTGATATACTGTAGTTTCCTTCGTATCTTAATAGCTGAGATATTTTGCGCGCTATCTATAATCAATTCAGTCGAACAGTTTATTTGCGAGATACGTTGGAATATACACACAATATATACGCTACGTTATCTATAAAAAACATGCATTATCGTTTATTAAATTATTATATATTTTGGTAATGGGATATTTTAATGTGTCTTCTTTCCAATCAATCGTCTAATTTAATTGTTGCAGACTCGAGAAGTCTCGTCTCTCTCGGACGCTCCAGGTGTGAGAACCGCTGATGCCGAGATTGCCGCGACACATGCTGGAAATTTGTTCGGCGGGAATTTACGAGCGAGTTTCCGTGTCAGACCCAATACCGTAGTCGCTGTTGGTAAGTAGGTATAGCTCTGTATATATCCTGCCGGCCATAAACTCGTATTCGAGGACCAGCGAGCAGAATAATCGAGAATGTCGTTAGTTAGCGCGCTCAGGAATTTTAACGGCTGTTCGGGAGGCGCGCACGGAAAAACGCAATTCGTCATACGCGTCGTTGTCGCACGTTCGAAGTAGCACGTTGTCGAATGACGGTCACTCCGTGATCGTGAAGAGAATTGACTATGCCGGAACCGTTTCGCGAGCTCGTCGCGAGGCTCTCGGAGGTCTCGCGGAGATCATTAAATCAGTCTGGCGAAATTGACATTATAAAAGCTGTCGTACAAATTACACTTTACCAAATTAGGTTGCGGAAAGATATCTTCACATTCAATTAACTCTACACGGAGAAGATATTGTAATGAAAATTGCAACAAATTTTTGCGATCTTGTAGACCATACATAATTATGACCGAGATTATCATATATATTCGCTTAACAATGTCATGTACGTTTGGCTTTTTACTATAAAATTATTATAATAAAAGTATTGTAATTACAATGTTTTAACCCAGCTTGACAAGAAACATTGCAAAATTAAATGTAATCTTAACGCAATTTTATTATAATTTATTATATGTAATTTTATTATATGGTTTTCTCCATATAAAGGCGACAATCATACACTGAGAAAAAAAATATCTAAAAAGTAAAAAATATTTAATGAATACTAACAATATATTCACTTAAATCTAAATTCTTTTATTTAAATAGAGTAAACAATTGTTTTTATAAGGAACTAAGGTTTTAAGAAAATGTATATTGCCTTATTTGAAAAATATTTTATATATTAATATAAGTAAAACTATTAGTATATTACATTGTGGTATCCACTAAAGTATATTATTAAAATCCGCCAAATAAATATCTTTTATTTTTTAGATGTTTTTTCTCTCAATGTAGATAAGATAACGACAACTGTAATTCTCCTCCGTGTAGAATCGACAATCGTAGATAAGATTCTTTCTTTTTTTCTCGTATATGTGCATTTTTTTTATTTATTGACACGTGCACTTCACTTGGAGGGCTCACGAGCCACCCTCCTCCACCTAGATCTGCTTGCGCGCATAATGAATGGCAAATATATCGGTGTCGTCAAGCGTATATCCTTTTATCATTATCTCATTCGCGTTAAGAGGAGGTGACGCGTCAGCGGAGACAAGAGTGAGAGGAAGAAAGAGAGATGGAGAGCGAGAGAGAAAGAGGGATCTCGCTAAAACCGCGATCAAGCTTCGGAATGCATCTGGAGACCGATACGATATCGTGGTGGCGAAACGTGCGATATTTCACGTCGCTTAAGGTAATAAACACGATCGCTTTTCCCATATGCGCCATACGGCGGATATGCAAATCGCGCGACGCTCGCCACTTTGCGTCAGAATTGGCTCGATACGTTTAATCGCCGATTAAACGATGATCCAGATTAACGTGGAATTTTAAACGGTCCCGGCTCTCTTTCTCTCTCTCTCTCTCTCTCTCTCTCGCGCGCGCGCGCGCAAGAATGAGAGAGGGAGAGAGAGAGAGAGAGAGAGAGAGAGAGAGAGAG